AGGAGTCAGAGATCTAACTACCGACCTTCTGATGATACCTGGTGAGCCACAGCCGCCACCAGGTGTCAGTAGATATGGGTAGTTCAGTACCTATAGTAGTAATACTACAATTACAAAGTCTTTGAGTATCGATTCAATACCACAGAAAAGGGACTTTCCTCACATTAGTTCTCATTCTGGTCAGATGAACACTCTTCCTACAGTCTGCTTCTCTGCCGCTGCTGCTGCTGCTGCTGCTGCTGCTGCTGCTGCTGTTGCTGTGTATGTGCACAATGATCACCTCATTAAATCAGAAAATTCATACAATAAACATTTGTTATTGACAGTCTTGTGTTTTAACATGAACAGTGAACACAGTGGAGCATTTAGAGGCAGATATTTGGTGCTAAAAGATGAGAGAATGGACTTGTATTCATCAGGTGGCCAAAAACACGACCTGTATTCTCCTAATGTTACGCCATGTCTGTTGGATGTGTAAATAAGCAACTGCAACTGCTTTACAAGGTCACAAATCTTGTATCATATTGATTTTCATCAGTCTTTAACAACTTGTGGGACAAAAAAAACCTATTGATGCAGGTTTAAAGATTTCACAAGACAACAGCACTGAAGGTTTGCTTGATTATTTTCATTATATACAGATATATAAACAATCAAAACACCAGCAGACGTCTCATGTGACAAAAAGGCACTTATGCCTGTTGGTGTCTTCAGTACATAAAGTATTTTGACTCCTCTCTGTCCTTATTTTTATGGACCTCTCTCTCTCTCTCTTTCTCTCTCTCTCTCTCTCTCTCTCTATCATGAGACTACAGGTTATTCACGTCCAATTCAAAGACACAGTTGTGAATGTGACAAAATCACAAGGATGTCACATTTTCACAATAACATAAAGTAGGAAATCAAATCAAATTACCTTAAACCCGTTAAAGACATACAAAAGGAGAAGTGAGAAAAAGTGAAAATAGAAACAAGCTCAAAAGATGGAGGAGGAGAGGGTAGTTACTTTAAAAGCACACATATACTTCCTCTTCCTCCTCCTTCTGCCCTTTCCACTCCTCCGCTCACCTCACACCACCGGATTCTGATCACCATGCAACTCTCATCGCTATAAAAATCACCTCCATCGCTGTCCGGGTCGCACACATCCCACAAGTCTCTGTTTGACTGGCTGAGGTGAATGAAGATATTCTAAGAGGTGGGTGCTTCATATTTAATCAGCTGGATGGTGTTTATACTGATAAATATTACATTGTTCATCCCTCTGTCTCCCTGTGCTTTTCTCCTTCTCCGGTCACATTACACAGCTCGTGTCAGCGGAGATGTTGGCAGGTGCGTTAGTTCTGGGCACCATCCTCACAGCTTTACCAGGTAAGAAAAACACCTAAATATCTCTGAAAATGGACCCTTTTTTTCATCATGAGGTGCAAAACTTAACTGAACTAGGTTTTAGGTTTTTAGTTTTATTACTTTAAAGGATGAGAGATGAGCTAACAGGCTCTTTAATTGTCAATATTTATATTCTATTCCAAGTTTTTATATCAAAAAGGTGTCACACATACTGGTTTTACATACTGTTAAAAACATGAATGACTGACTTATAGGATCCATTATGCACATAAGGTTATGTAGCCAGGTGCCCTTGCCTTTACGCTCAGGTTATTTATAAGTATTGATCCCCTTTTGTGCAAGGTAGTCAGCCAGGCAGGCAGTTAGCAGCACAGGATGACACCACGGCTGCACATCAAGGCTCGTTCTCACTGCTTCACTTTTATGTGTCACTCTCTGAGCTGAGCAGAACTGTGGTTTGACAAGTTTTCCTCTGAGGAGCCGCATGGAAGGAAAAATTTTTACTTGTGGGCAGCTGAAATTTACACTTCTTTTAGTTTCCAAATATGTATTCCCCAAACCTACGGTCTGCTTTATTTTATATGAAAGCAATTTTGTGGATATGACAGCCACTAGATGCTAATTCATTTGGGAATCTGAGCTGTTCCTCAATAAAAACATTAGTGCAGCTGAGTGTAGAGCTGCTACAGGGCTTGATGTGAGCACGAGCTTCAGACTTTCAGGTGGAACATAACAGACGTTTGGATTTTATGATTTTGTATGTTAAATTGGTGCACCTGTTTGTGTGTGTGTGTGTGTGTGTGTGTGTGTGTGTGTGTGTGTGTGTGTGTGTGTGTGTGTGTGCAGGTATCCAGAGCAGGTGGAGTGTGTCATTTTCTAGGAGGGAGATCTGTGTGTGGGCAGGAACAACTGTCACTCTGCCCTGTCGTTATGACTACCCATCAGGTATAAAAGTAACAAATAAACCTCTTTCAATTTTATTTTTTATCCTCTTTTAGTTATTGGGTATTACATTTTTTATTTAATATTTTTAAATATGTATAATAATAATAATAATAATAATAAAGCCTAGAAATGCTTGTATCCGAGCTCCAAGAGACAAACCCTCTTGCACAATTTTGTTCTGGTTTTCATGAACTGAACAGGCCATACTGTGAAGAGAGTCATGTGGTTCCGTGTGTCTGCGGAGGGTCGCAGGGAGTTCACCCACCACACCGACACAAACCAGATCAGCCTGTCATACCGTGGACGCACACGGTGGGAGACGCCACAGATTTGGTGAATGATTTGAAATGAAATTTTACATGAATTAGAAATAAGGTGTCATCATTTAATCCTATTTTTTCAGCTACATTGGGGGCAGCTATTCCAGCTGTTCAGTCCAGATTCGGGGTGTGAAGCTGAGTGATGCGGGCCAGTACCACTTCAGGTTTGAGACAGACCAACCACTGGGTAGATGGACCTCCCCTGACACCATCACTCTGGATGTAACGGGTAGGTTTATCTCAGCTATGACAGTGATGATGAAAGTGAAGCACTGTATAAATGTGCGTGTGTGTGTGTGTGTGCGCGTGTGTGTGTGTTGTGATGACCGTAACCACCCGCCAAATGTGTGTGTGTGTGTGTGTGTGTGTGTGTGTGTGTTTTCCAGACCTCCATGTCCAGGTGCATCCAGCCAGGCCCGCCAACATGTTTGGCTTCGGAGAGACAGTGTTTGTAGGCTGCCAGGCCAGAGGATGTGCTGCTCCAGGAAGGAGCCTGGCACTCTACAGGTGTGGGGGTGGACATGTGCACATTTCATATGTATACAGTTTATTACACTGTATAGATGATGTGACGCTCTGCACACAGGAATGGACTAAACCTCGGCTCCTATGAAAAATGGATGATCATCAACCGCTTTGACCAACAGCATGCTGGAGCGTACGCCTGTCGACCAATCCCACCTCAAAATGTACAGTCCCCATCCCTCTCCCTGGCTCTGGGACGTGAGTAACCTCGATCAACCAATCAAGCTGAGCAAAACAGGAGCTTCTCAGAACACCTGTTCATTATCTTAACTTGTTAACATGCTTGCAGGAAGGTATATCTGGGAATTGTTAGACACAAGTATTGCTCTGATGTGTTTTACTCTTTCAGGAAACAACACAGAAAACTATTTCACTGAGATTTTTAAGAAGAACTTTTTTCCAGTGTTCAATAGCACATGAAGTATTTAACAATTCTACTTTAGCAGAAATGTTTGATATACTAGAAACTGTATTTACATTATGCATTAATTCAGCTCCACTCTACTTTTTTCTGGCCTCTTTCTCCCCATTTCTTCCTCATATATGTTTCTTTTCTCTCTGTCTGTTCTCTTCCAGACGCCCCTCACTCCACCTCCATAGCAGTCTTTCCAGTAGGGGAGGTGTCCGAGGGGGGGTCTGTCACTCTGACCTGCAGTAGCGATGCAGCTCCGCCTGTGGAGAGCTTTGCCTGGTTTAAAGGTACAGGACAGTCCTTTGTGTTTACTGATGCACTGCATGATGGACACACTAACTGACACTAACCAGCTGGGCGGCAGATATGAGCTGACTGGTTGATGATAGCTATAGCATACTTGATGACATGGATGGCGTTTGAATTGCGCTGTAGTGTAAAGTTATATGTGTGCTAATCTGCACCTGTGTCTGTGTCTGCTCTGCAGACATGGAGAGTGGCAGCATCCCAGACAGTTTCAGGCCTCAGCTCCATCTGTCCCACCTCAAATACTCAGACAGAGGAGAATACTTCTGTGTGGCACGTAACTCACTGGGAACGGACCGCTCCAATCCACTGCAGCTCAATGTCACTTGTAAGTACGTTGCATGTTTTCAGTAGTACCACAGGCGTGGTGTTTTTGCCCCATGTCACACAGTTCAGAATCAAAATTAGATGCTTAGATCAGAATTTGATTTAGGTTTTAAAATTGTGGAAACTTGAGATATCAGCCACACTGCACATTGGGCTCAGTGTGATAGAAAAATGTCCATAATGCAGTAATGATCGTTGTTTTTCCCTCTGTCTGTTTAGACGCTCCGAAGAACACACATGTGCTGGTGAGTCCTCGAGGTGACATCAGAGAGGGTTCATACGTAAACCTGAGCTGTGTCAGCCACGCCAACCCTCCTGCCAGCAGGTATGTGGGATCAACATAGAGAGAGTTTCCTACCAAGCAATAAATCAAACATATGACAGAGCTGAACTGAGTCTGATTCTATTTGTTCTTATTATGCCCCTTAAGTGGGACAAAACTATTTAAATCAGCGGTCCCCAAACTTTTTTCAGTGGGGGCCACATCAACTTTCCTTTCTGAGATGGGGGGCCGAGGTTAGTCTATAACAGGAAATGATATGGGCCAGGGTGACAACCAGTATTATTGTGGAGATTACAATGATAATTTGTTGTAGCTGCCCTTCGTTTGGCTTTGGCACCACCTGTTGATTTGCAAAAAAAAGTAATAAAAAGTCTTCACATGTGTTTATTTGAAGTACCACAGATACTCCATTTATTTTATAGAAAATAACAACACAAACTGATGGTAATGGCAGGGGGGGGGGGGCGCCGGCGGGCCGGCGGGCCGGCGGGCCGGCGGGCCGTCAGGCGGCTAACTCTGCTTGCTAGGCGCAATGCCTGTGCCAGGGGGAAAAGTTTGTCCAAAGTCCACAAGTTTGGTGTCTACAGACTCGGCTCGGCCGTTTAAAATTTCTGACACATCTGTTAATAAAGGCGAGGTCCCATTTCCATTCTGTGTCGATCAGCTCTGGGACAGTTTTTCCCTTTGTCAGGAGAAAGGCATTGATTTCGGGTAGCAGGTCGTAAAAACGCTTCAAAACTCTGCCCCGGCTTAACCAGCGGACATCAGTATGGTAAACCACGTCTCCGTGGGCGGATTCTAGTTCGGAGAGAAAGGCTTGGAACTGCCTGTGTTTAAGTCCGTTTGCTCTGATGAAGTTTATGCAGGACACAACCACCTTCATGACAGATTCCCACCTCAGAACTTTGCAGCTTGACGCTGGCTCGGTCACGATCAAAGTCACGTCAGAATATACCATTGTGTGAGGAGGTGAAGATGAGCCACTATTAACTATAAATAGCTCATAACTATGGTCAATTTTAATTAGAATGCCAACCTTTAAGTACGGATATGTTATGATGTTATGATAGGAAAATGCAATTTAATAAAAATTGGTTGATGTTTAGAGGGATTGTCTGGGATCGTTAAGTGGGCCACTCCAATTGCTTTGGCGGGCCGGATGTGGCCCGCGGGCCGTAGTTTGGGGACCCCTGCTTTAAATGTTTATATGTATTCACATCTCTTCACCTAAATAAAATCCAGTGTTCAATCAATCTACTTATTAAAAAATATTTTTGCTCGTCCTATAAATCCTTTTTCTCATCATCATCATCATCACCCCTCCCCCCAACCCCTCACACACACATACACCCTCACACACTCTCTCTCTCTCTCTCTCTCTCTCTCTCTCTCTCCTGCAGGTATGCTTGGTATCGTATCCTAGGTGATCAGGTGTTGGCTAAAGGAGCAGTTCAGAACCTGACGTTCCTTTCGGTGCGTGCTCACCACGCTGGTCAGTACTACTGCACAGCGTCAAACCAATTAGGATACCAAACCTCCCCTGCTGCATCACTCACTGTTCTCTGTAAGTAGTGGGTGTGTTGTATGTGTCTGGCAGTACTGATACATACGGTATTTATATAGCCATGTTACTCTGTCAGTATTGTCCAACCTCTCATCCTTCAGTTCATCCTTTCACACATTATCTAACTGTACGTTTAGCTGTGTCTTTATAAAACAATCATTTAACACACTGAAATCAGATTAGGATCCATCTTTGGAGGTTAATTTGATCCTTAGGAAATCAAACTCTCCAGACCTTCGCCTTCTCCAGCCCCTGTTTCTTCTCTGTAAATTTGAATAATTTTCACATTGAATTTGTATCCCAAAGATTCACAACACTGTAGGATGGTCCCTTATATATATATATATATATATATATACTTCTTCTCTGGCTCCAGATCCTCCTAAGAACACCTCAGTTCTGGCTCGTCCCTCCAGTGTGGTGGATGCTGGCAGGCCGTTGACTTTGACCTGCAGCAGTCAGGCCAACCCGGCAGTGGACAACTTCACATGGCACCGATTAGCTCTGGACGGGGGCTCTGTACAATGTTAGCATCCTAAAAATGTGATTCCACTCAAGGTTAACGGAACAAAATCATCAACTCTCTCTGTGGTGAAATGTTTGTAGTCAGTAAAACCTCATGTGCTTTGAGCTCCTGTTCTGTTTATCTGTATCTGATTCAGTAACTGAGTCTTCTCCCTCTCTGTGCTCCTTCATGCAGCGTGGGGCACAAAGTCCGGTCCCGTTTTCACCTTCTCAGAGGTCGGCCCCGGAGAGAGCGGTCAGTACTACTGTGAGGCCAGGAATCGGATCGGAGCCCACAGCTCTCCTGTCCTCACTGTGCGAGTCAGAGGTACATTTTCTTCATCTTTTAGACTTTTTGTCAGTCTGTCTTTGTGTTTTGTCACAATAAAAGTGAAGCATTTTTCGTTTGTTAGTACAGTGCTCCAGTAAAGTGGAGATTCTCACTTTTATTTTTAGCCACACTAACAGCGCTTTGTTGGTTGGTTGGTCTGTCAACCCCTTTGGCCTAGACTGAAATGGACCCCAAAGAGTGAAACCTGACTTTTTTGATAGTAACTAAACTGGGATTTATTTGTTTGGAAATGATTATTGCTTCACAATCAAGATCACAATGGATTTTTTTTTAATGTGGTGACTTTCCTGAGTCCTGAAGGTTTCATTCAGAGTTACATTCACACTCTGTCTGGGTGACTTAGTGTTTCATCTCTGCTGACCACTGTTCCCCACAGATTTTTCTCTTTTTTTCTAAGTCATAATGTACACTGCCACTTTTGAGTGCAGTGGAAGAGATGAAGTGTCACTGATAACCTTAGTGAAACACTCCTGCCCCATTTTTACATCTATGTTTTTGATTATCTCAGACTATTTAAAAAAAGAAAAAAATGCTTTCATGTGTTTATATGAGATTATGGTTAAATGGGTGTTTGGATAAGTTTCTGTGAGTCTGAAGTGACGAGTGATGAAACCTCCCTGTCACTATCACAGCATGGGGTCCACAGGCTCTGGTCTTCATTGTGTATGCTCTCATGATTCCTGACTGTTTTTCTATGAGTCATGGTGAGTCATGTAAAGCCCTCTCACTATGAGGGGAGAGGAGGAGGTGTTGTGGAAAACTACTATTTGAGTCTAGACAGCTGAAGAAGTAGAGTTGGGTTTGGAAATCAGAACTGGAAACACAAGTCTCAAGTCTAGACGACTGCACGATGATGCACGGCTCTTTTCCCGTTCCTCACTTTCTCTTGTTCTATTTTTAAAGTCTGATGTTCTTTTTTTCGCTTGTTGCACTTCTATTTTTGTTCATCTCATGTGGTCTGTCATCTGTGCGTCATTTCCTGTTTTTACTTCATGCTTTCTGGTCACGCTGATTACCTTTATTAACCTTCCACTGGCAGGTCGTCTTAAGGTCATTGCCCTGGCGTCGGCGGTGGGCGTGTCTGCTGGACTCATCACTCTTACCGTGGCCATAATGATCAGGTGACAGGAAGCACAGTGGTGCTAGAAAGTTTATGACCCGTTAAAAATGTTCTATATTTCTACACACAGCTGACCCGAATCATGACAAGATCTTCATCAAAGATAAAGAAAATCTAATTAAAGAAATAACATTAAAAACATTTAAACATTTCATTTATTTATTGAAAAAGGAAAAAGTACGTGAACCTTTGTTTTGAGTGAGTGGTGCGACCCTCTCAAGCAGCAACAACTTCGACCAAACGTTTCCAGCCACTGTTGCTCAGTCCTGCTCATCGACTCGTTCCTCCTTACAAATGTTGCTGGGCTTCCCTGACTGAACTGCTCAGGTCCATTTCTACTGGGTTAAGGTCTGAGCTCTGACAGCTTTAGCCGTTCTTCGGTTTACTGGTTTGTGCGTTCAGGCTCATCATCTTTCTGCAAGACTCATTTTCTGGTGAGCTTCAGTTCACAGACAGAAACGCTGATTTTTCCTGTAGTATTTGCTGATACAATAATTAATTCATAGTTCCATCAATGATTGCAAACCATCCTGGTCCAGAGGCAGCAAAGCTAACCCTAAACCATGATGCTGAGGAGAATAACAACAGTGTTGAATTTCCTTCATTTGTACATGATCTGCCTGACAGTGGATTGTTGGAGGCCAAACTCTTTAGAAAAATGGTTTTGTAACCTTTTCCAGTCTGTTGAAGAGCCACAACTGTTTTTCTGAGGTCCTGAGAAATTCCCTTTCAGTGATTCAGGCATGGTGCACGTGCACAAACCTGTGTTGAAGATCAGACTTTGAGAGTGAAGACCAAGGTTTGTGTTGTTTAAACAGAGCAGGACCTCCCACACTCACACTTGGTTGTCACCCCGTTGACTGAAACACCTGACTCTAATAAGCCCTTTAAATTAACTGATAGTTAATGAGATTTACAGAGTTCGACCATTTTATTTTTAAGTGAATGTAAAAGTTTTATGTTTATTGTCATCTGTTTAATTTCATTCTCTTTATCTAGTTTAAGGACTTAGATGAGGACCTGGTCACGTTTAGGGTCAGAAAGCAAGAACATTTTAAAGGCTTGTTTTGTGGTTTAATTGCATCACTATTGTGGCAGGAGTTATGTCCTGGTTGAGTTTTATAATTGTCCCTCTGTCTTCACAGTAAGAACATGCACCGAGTAGACATGGAGTCAGTAGAAATAGCAAACAAGGTACAGTATCATTGTGTATTCACTTTCCCTTACAAAAATATTGCTCAACATTTCAAAAACATTTTTTTAATACTAATAGATAAAAAATAATCATCCAACAATCCACAGTAAAGTCAGAATAATTTCTAAAGATGATGATGTGCGATTGTAATTTCCCTTGTTCCTTGTTTGTGTGTGTGTGTGTGTGTGTGTGTGTGTGTGACCCCAGCGTCCTTCAGTGACAGCTGACACCATGTTCTATGAGTCAGCCCAACAGAACTTCCCAGTGAGAAAGGGCAAGATGTCCGACATACCGGTGAGAAACTCAGTGCACAACCTGAGAGTCTTACATAACTGTGGAAAAAAGTTACAACAAGAGTGTGTGTGTGTGTGTGTGTGTGTGTGTGTGTGTGTGTGTGTGTGTGTGTGTGTGTGTGTGTGTGTGTGTGTGTGTGTGTGCAGGAAGAGCCAGATGACTTGAGTGACAGCTCCTACCCCTCCATCATTCCTCTAAAAGATGCTCCACCAATCACAGAAGTTGAAAAAGGCAGCTGCGCCCCCAACTACATCACTGTCCAGTACTCCAGGTTGTCCAGGTACACGCCCTCTTCCTCCTCCTCTGTCACTTTCTCTTCTCCTCTGAACCACATCCCTCTGACTGTTTCACTCTCAACGCTCCGTCACTTTCTGTCTCCCATCTGCACCATCTGCAATCTACTGTTTCATGTCTTGCAAATTTTATTTTACAACTACATTGGCTTAATCCTCCCATCTCCCTCTTGCTTTCTTCTTTATTCTCCTGTCATCACCTTCTCCCCTTCTGTTTCATTCCCCCTCTCATCTTCAACACCTTCCTCTGTTTGTGAGAGGACAGTAAATCTCTCTTCCCAGTTTTGACTCATAAAATAATATCTCTGTTTATGATATAATCTGAGTCAGATGTCCACATGAGCTCATATGGTTTCTGTTCGATGTTGATGTCTGCTCAGTGGAGACCAGGTGCAGGTCCACAACCTGCCACTAGGTGGTGATAAAAAACCAAAGGACTCCTCCAAAGTTGTTTACACCTTACTGCCCCAGCCTCGACACTGAACACAAGGAAAAAGGTACAGCAACCTAAAGTAATGTCTTTTGATCTTGCTGTATAATTTCATGGAACATGTCAGTACTATTATCATCCACATGCAGTATTATTTTTACAATAATCCAGTAAAGTTTTGCCCCTGAAAAAAAAAAAACTTGCAAAAGGATTTAAACACAACAAATTTTACTTTCAGAGTTTAGCTCTTTGTCTTAATTATGTACCAAATATTAAGCAACTCAGTGGCACAACATTTAAAATCACGCAGGAAGAATTTACACAGCTCAATGAAATGATTATTAAATTAGAATGTGTTCTACTCATGTTTCTGCCCTTGTTATTCTCCTCTGCTCCTTCCCTATGTTCTTCCTCAGCTGACCAGCACATCAGTCTTGCTCATGTCAACCAGTCACTTTGCTTCCATCCGTCCACAGAGGACTGTGGAAACCAGAAACTGCTCCTCGTGAACTCTAAAGATGCCTTACACGGTTCTAGGTCAGACATGTTGTTCTGGGATTCTCCATGGTTCTTCAGACCATAAGGGCAACATGTGGTCTTGCTACTGACTGGGAGTCCAGCCTCTACACTGTGTTGCATGTCTCTCCTGTTTTTCCTATGCATCTTACCACAGCATGATGTCTGATGAAGTCCTAAAGGGAAAAGGTGAAAAAAAAGGAACATCAACACTGATAGCCATGTTTTACTTGCCTTCATATCCACAGCACAGGTTATAACTACTGTTGCTTTTCAGTTGATGCTTGACACTGAAATTTGCAACCAAGAATATGTAGATGACAAAATATGACTGGTTGCTGCATTAACCTTTGCATCCTCAGAAAACTGAAAAGTGATAATCATCTGTATTTAAACATAAATGTCTCCAATAAAAATGTCAGTTTGGTATTAATCATAATAGTGAAAAATACATCTATAGATAATATGAAATATTTGACACGTGAATTTCCACATGTATTCAACATGTTCTAAATAGGCTTGTTCTGATTGCTGATGCTGCAACATTAATTCAGTTTATACAGCTTGTTTCCATTAAATCATTCTTTCCATTTTTATGTAGTATGAGCTAGGCCAGTAATAATGAAAATTACATGTTGTAGTTTGTTACATTGAAGGAAAATAAAAAAAATTTAATAACTTGAATGTGCGTTTTTATTTATTGCAAAGAAATCAATCACACACTAATTTACTTTGTCACAGAATGCGATGACGTCCATGTAAAAGGTTATACTAACAAACAATCTATTACAACTAAAAGTAACACAAATAAACTACAGGGTGTGGAAATCAGCACGATTAGCCATGAACACAGCACGAGCATGTGTGCTGCGGAGGTGATGATACAAAGTGCGTGTCATCAGTTGGAGGAGAGAGCAAAGGAGCGCAGCTTTTACAGTCTGGAAGGCCCAGGTGATCTACATCCAGTCTCCACCAATGTCCTGCAAGACAATGTGAGGGCATCACAACTCAAGTGATCATTTCATCATTCCAGATGAGGGACTGTGGACTGTAATATCCCACTACATGTTTGAGAATTTCCACTATTATGTTGATCATCTAAGCTCGCTCTTGCCACATGTTGCTGAACTGTGAAGGTGTCATAATTACATATTGTGACATTTCCTCGCTTGACTTGAAGCTACAATGGAAACATTCCTATGGTAATGTGCTAAAAAACTATGATAAAACACAATAAAATAATATTTAGGCATTATATTTAATGACGTTGCAGTCATCCGTTTGAACCCAAAGTTTTTATTTCACCCCCCAGGTTGCAGTCATTTATCCATTACACTGAGTATTGAGATCATTGCATTGAGTGTTTCACTGCATTGTCAGTTTATCTGAATCTACATGTTTAATGCTCACAAATCTGAAACGTTTAGGTGAATTAACATCTGCCACACAGACCAGGGAACATTTGGCATGGAGCGAGAAACTGAGAGTAAATTTCCAGCAGAGTCCTCGGTGACACTTCACCATCCTCAGCTTGTGCAAGAGTCACTTTGGTGTGTGGTGACAGCTGTGTGCTGCTGGAACCTGAACATACACTGTACTGTGTTGCCTGTTGTGTCTCGGTAGCGTGGTGTCTGATTGTCACAGTCTTGTTTCCTCACATCCCTCACACCTCACATTTATGGTGTTATTGCAGGCTGTATAACTTGATGTGATCAGCACTCTCAACATGTGATGTTATAATGAGAGGAAGCAGGGTCGGGACATCCTCCCACTTCTGCTTTTCATTCCATAAAATCATTTCATGAATTAGCAATAAGACAATTTGCTTGAGCTGGTGAGTACTTAAAACTTTTAAACACTGGTACTTTTTTTTGACATTTTGTTGTCCACAGCCTGAGAGTATTGACCTGTGTCTTGAACCATCATGTTCCAGGATGATTTTCATAATGGAGGGTCAGATTCTGATGATCCTGGTTATTATGCCGGGTAAGAAAACATACTCTTTTTAATTGAATGTAAAGGACATTTCTATGATCTTATACAATCTCTGTTTAGAACTTTTAAATATATTTAATATGATGTTACCAGTGCCTGTGGGAACTAGAGCTACAACACAATTTAACTGAAAGTATCTTTATTTTCATCCAAAGGTGTTCTCAGTGGATACTGGAGTGTGATCTTTGAAAATCAGTGCGCTTTGAAAGGGACATCAGTAGTTATAAAGTGCCGCTATGACTACCCTTCCGATCATACTGTCACTTCACGTTGGTGGTCTAAAGCACAGTATATTTTTGGGGCGTGGAGTCTGGTTCCCCTGTCTAGACTCCATTCACCCCCAGACTTCAAATATGTGGGCGACGACCATGGTAACTGTGATCTGGAAATCAACAATGTACGACACGCTGATGAAGGAGCGTACTTTTTTAGTTTTGTGACAACACGCAACAGGTGGACAAGTAGAAACTTTGCTGAATTGTCTGTAAAAGGTAATAACAAAATAATGGAATAATGTAAATTTTTCATGAATTGAAAAGGTTTTAGTAAAAATGTGTAAAGTGGATCTGTTTCTGTTCCTGCACCAGAGTTAACCGCTGTTGTACAGCCAAGCACTGTGACAGAGGGAGACCACGTCAGCCTGAGCTGTGTGTCAGGTTGCTCGACACCTACAACCATTGTCTGGTTTAGAGATGGACAACTTGTACCGAAACCAGTCTTCCGGGCCAGAAGAGACGATGCTGGGAGGTATTACTGTGCCGTCCTGAGACAAGAGACAGTCACATCCAACCTGGTGGCTCTGAATGTTCAATGTAAGTAAACAATAAACACTGAAGCTCAATTCATGGGCTTTTCTCACAGCAGACACAGCTCCACTCTGCTCAAGTGTCTGAGTAAGCCATGGCAGTGCGACAGTGAGCCAGTGAGAACAAAACAGGAACCTGACACTGAGGCAGCTAAATGGGATTCAGCCGTCATTAACGATGCCTCTGTGCCGATGACATATCGGGATGAAAGAAAAACAAATGGTTGCATTGGTACATGGATTTTTTAAAAGGATCTCCGTATTGTCATCCAACAGAGGGAGAAGATATTAGAAATATTGTTATGTATTTGTTTCATGCTACTGTAACCCTGGAATAATATCAGCTTGAGGGGCCAAGACGTGATTAACTCTACTGAGATTCACCTTGATGTCCAGTGTGAGTATGATGAGTTGAGAGATGAGATGAAGTTACACTGACTGATGCTGTGGATACAAGCACACAATGCAGACACAGCAGTGCTCTAGTTCTCATGCTGCGTTCAAGAGTTGTCAAGAGTTCACCCTTTACAGTGACAAGTGACAATTCATTCAAAGAGGGAAACGCTTGGTTACCTGATAGAACAACTTCCTTCGTTTTATTATTACCCTGGTCTGCCTGTCTGTTTGTTATCAGGACAATGTCCTGACGCTGTGAAAGACTCAGGAGAAGTGCTGATAAAAAGTATTTATACTGACTCATATTTGCAGAGCACTTTAATTCAAAGAGATATATACCTGATTATTTCAATCCGTCTTTCATGAAATACACAACTTCAAGAAATAATCAACTTCTGCAGAAAATTCAACCCATAAGACTAAAATATTGACAAAATAATTAACAAAAAAATGCATAATTAATTTGGTAGTCCAGCCAAATGAGTGTCCTCTAGCTGAGTGATCCCCAGTGTTTTGGGTTTGTGATTCCTCCTAATGAAGTAATTATGACCCCTAATCACAGGCTATGGTCTTAGTTGTGAGCAGCTCAACCAGCAAGAGATTTTTGCATCACACATTGTTTCATTTGATGATTTCTAAAAGGCCTGAAGAGGTGAATGTGTCCAGTATCCACAAGAAAGTGTAAATCTGAGAAAACTCTAAAATACAGCCACTTATCTATCTTGTCTCATTTAGGAATAAAACAAAATAATATCAAAAACGCCATTTTCCTTTTTTTTCAGACCGTCCAACAAACTTATCAGTTTCAATAGATCCACCACAGGCTGCCGAGAGCAGCGGTGTGAATCTGACCTGCAGCAGTGTGGCAAACCCCGCAGCAGTCAACTACACCTGGTACAAGAAGACAGATGATTCCAGCTCCATGCTGCAGGTGGGCTCAGGACAGGTGCTGTCTCTTCCCTCTGTGGAGGCGTCCCACACTGGACTCTACCTCTGCCAGGCCAGGAACAGTGTGGGGGAGAACAACTCAACTGAGGTGCTGCTGACCATGACGAGCGAGGAGCAAGGTTTGTGTCACTTTTTACACTTTTTAATCATTATCTCCAACAGAGGTGATTTTAAAGTGGCACAAAGCAGACGTGCTTCAGCTTCTACCTACAGTAATCTCACCGGACTGTGTGTTCCTCTTCAGGCAGCCGGCTCCTCCCAGTCTTAGCTGGAGTTGGAGCCTTTGTTTGTGTGGCACTTGTGATAGCACTTCTTTTGTTCTGGTGAGTCAATGAATGATGCAGACGTTACTTTTAGCATCTTTGTGTTGTATCTTCAGCTGTTTTTCTGCATGATGTGTATGTTTTTTGATGTGTTGTCATGGCTACATGTGTGTGTATGGAAGAGAGGGGGGTGTGTCAGCTTAAATTTTCTGCTTTGTTGCCACTTTTAACCCCTTAGTTTTTAGCTCACCTCTAACACAGATGGTCAGTAAAAATGTGTCAAGCTGCTGCTTACAGAACAACTCTGAAATGTGACGCCACAAAGTTGAGCAACAACTCACCAACTCACCAACACACGACTGATTTATTTTGGTTTTTGATTTCATTTATTTGGCAGGAGGAAACCGAGAACCTGTGCAGAGGAAAAAGTGAGTACATCGAATAGAAGTCACAAAAATAACTGATCTCACTCTGATCAAACTCTTATCATTAACCGTCAGTGACGCTAGGATTTGGGGGAATTTGAACTTTCCCATTCAAGCAGTAAACAAAAACAATTCAAATTTCATTTTCAGTCCCTGTGCTTTATCAAAGATCCAAGACAAGATTTGAAGAAGTGAATTATTTTTCCTGTAGCGTTTTTTCTATAGTGAATTTTTATGATGTTTCACAGTAACACGGTTTTTAGTGGAGCCAGAAGTAAAGTACCCAAAGTGCACCTGTGGAAGAAAACCTAATCTGACTTTTGTTATTTCCTCACCAGCAGACTGCATTAGACTCCAGGCTCAGTGGAAGAAGCTCAAGCTCATCAGCCAATGAAGATCAGTCTGACACAGTTTATGCCAACATCCACACATTTCCATCCCCTCCTCCACTTGTTCCCGCTGCTCCGGACATCGCTTCTCATTCACAGAGGAGCTCACACTGTGAAGATGATGTAAATATGATGCACAAACATGAATGTTCAAATGCAAAAGGACAAAACATGAGATTTTGAATCAAATTCCCGTCTGTCCTCTCCCTTCAGGTCCCCACTTCTTATGAAGCTGAAGTTACCTACTCAGCAGTGACCATCAAACCCCGAAACCAGAGTCTCCACCATCACACAAACAACAGCAGAGCTCCACGAGACTCCCGGTGGGTTTACTTTCCAAACATTGAAAATTACAGCACTGTGGCATCACTGCATCATTGTATTCACTGTCTCAAGTTTAGATCATATCAGCAGCCTTTAGTCACTGTTACTGTACGGTATTACATTAACAACTTACAAAATAACACAAGAGGACCACACCTTGAAAATGGGAACTCCCTCTTGTAATAGCTGAGGTTACAATTTCAAATTCCTTCCCAATTTTTTGACTCATTGGCCACTAATGACTTTCATTTTTCACTTTACACTTTATATGCAGTCAGACCGCTTCTGAATCAGACTCAAAACTGCTTTGCCTTCACTCTGAAAACCCAATAAAGTCTTTCAGTTATGTTCTCTGTAAACATTTATCTCCCTGCATTTAAGATATTCAATCTAGTCATTATTAACATGAGTAATATCACAGTATTACCAAAGAATGTCAGTTCCGTCTGCAGTCATTTAAATATTACACAAATTCCCAGAAATATTATTCAGGAGGACATGACCTCAGTGTTCTCAGAGGTCGTGACAAATGATAAATATACTCAACTTAAACTGCAGTTTATTCTGTGAAGCAATAAAACAGAGTTATGTATAAAACCAATGCTTGGCTAAAGCATATGGATATGGTGCAAGGTGTCATAGCCGCTACTAACCTGCCATCAGTGTAGGCACAGGAATACTCTGTACTAAGACCATCATTTTCTCCTCAGGTCCAAAGCAGGAGAGAGCAACGACTCTGTGATCTACGCTACTGTGGCTAAATCCAGCTGATCCACATCTTAGTGTGAGAGTCTTAAAACAAGCCAGTGTTTGTCAAAGGGATGAAAATGTCTTTTTGTACACCATACTATATATTTATGATTTATTTATATTAGTGTTTTTGTGTTTTGATTTATGATTTTTTTATACTTTGCAAAATAATACTTATTGTCGGCTATTGTATATTTTTGATAAACCAAAGCGAAAGAAAGGAAATCCTGAACATCAAATTTTCTGACTTTATACCTTTGTATTGTGTTTGGGATACTGTATACTACAGTGTAACAGTGCACAGAAAATCTATAAAGAATAACTGTGATATTGGGGCAAGTTGTTTTTAATTAAGGCTTTATTTCAATACAATACTCAATGCAACAATTTACATTTTACAATACTTATTTCTCTTGTACACATAATTCCTATAGATGTACAAACTGTACATTCATTTTGTTTCAAAGGGGGAGATGGTGGTGTATAGTGTGAGCCTTTATAAATGCATTTGCATAAATCTTACAGCTTTTTGCTGGTTTCTATGTCGGACTTTACGTTACATTCTCCTTAGTCAAGAACTAAAGATCGGTGCCAGAAAGGGTTCAAATTCATTTTGAATAAAGTTATTAATGCTCACATCCCGTTCTTTATTCAGGCCTCAAGCAGGATGAAGATTCAGTGATAGCTACAGGTCCTCACAGGTAAGTCTTTGTAATATGTAGTGAAAGATATATTGTACGAGAACATGATTTATGTTGTTATTGCACTCTTGGTGTTAAGATCTGTGGATCATCTGTAACATGTCTGACATAAACATCTACATAAAGAAGACAATGACTAATATTTACAAAACAAAGCAAAATACTGATTTGAATATGAGTCATCTTCACCAGTCCATTTTTAACATGGGAATTTGGTAAAGACGGATCAGGTATAAATGATTATTCATGATAAAGTCAGGCTACATATAAAAACACATGGCGTGTATAACAGGTAAGAGTTTAATTACAACATGAGAGTTTGATCTGTCCTGTAATGTTTCAAAATAAAGCTGATTGAGAATCACTCATGTGTTGCTGACATCCTACATCTGCGTCTGCCTGTTGGTGTGTGTTGCACAATATTAAAGTACTGAATGTGCCGAGGTTGCACAAGATCTTTACTGATCTTCATTACAAATCATCGGTGCAGTCTGCACTCACTGTGGCAGGAAGTCCAGGTCTGAAGAAAGTGACTCATGTGGAATAAGTAGATAAAATCTCTAGATAAAGAATTTAAGTCTGATTGTATGAATCCTTGTAATTACATCTGGAACACTGAAAATGAACCTAAGCCTTTACAAGTCTTGATTCACTTTGCATACATTAAACTTGTTTTTTTTTTCAGTTCACAGCTGGTAACATTGCAGAAGTATGCAGCTATAAAATAGAAGAAAAACAATCTCATTATATTTTACAAAACTGGCATCTGGCATGATTCTGATCAAAATTTTACTTCATAAAAACAAAGTTAGTCAACCTCAATGACTTTTTGCTCATGAGTTTAAACCTTGATGTCACTTTTAGAGCTCTGTCTGTGTGTATCTGTGTAGATACAGGACACAGTTCAGACTGTAAGTATCTGGACAGTTACACATTTTTGTCATTCAGGCTCTGAGCTTCAGCCCATTTGAAATATAATAATGGCTACTTCAATAAGTAAAGTGCCTAGTTTCAGCTTTAATTTGAGTAGGTTTACATAAATATAGAAAGAACTGTGTGGAAGGTATAGCCATTTAAATACACAGTCCCCAAATGTTAGGGGTTAAAAAGGAGTTGGACTAATACAAATGAAGTCACACAAAAACATCATTTTCAATCCAAAGACATCAGCAGATGCTTTGTATGTCCTTCAGCTCTTGTTTGTTGTAGAGTCTCTCTGGTCAGTCTGGTCTTCACCATGTGGACTTCAGCTCAGTCAGACTGAGATCAGACTGACTCGGCCAGTCAAGGACATTCAGAGTAAGTGGACCTCTGCATTCATCCTGTTCTGTCAGCAGTGAAATCAATAAATGTCAGTGTGTCAGTTCCATTGGCAGCCATACATGCCCGAGCCATTAACAGTACCATCACCGTGTTTGACAGATGAGGTGGTGGCTTTGGGCCATGAGCTGTCCCTGTTTTCTCCGCAATTTCAGTTCATGAAGAGGACTCATGAAGTCTTCTCTTGATCTGTGACAAGGAAACATGTCTGCCTACATCCTGGAGAGCTTTCTTGACCTGCTGTGCGGTCATTGAGGTCACTTCTTCATCATGCAAATGATTCTCTGCTCATCCACAAGTCTTGTGCTCCTTCCCCCACCAGGTTGTTTGCCATGTTCTAGTTTTCTTGTGCACGCCTGCTTTTTTTTAAAGCGTAACCAACTGCTGATTTCGGTGAACCAGCTGCCTTCAATGTCTCTCATATATTTCTCCTTTTCTCATTATCACTTGCTTACTCACGCCTGCGCTCCTCATACTGACAGACAACACAACTGCAATCTAAATGACAGCTCTCAACTCTGAGCAATGTGTGAGATGTTTCTGTGCATGAACTAACATTGAAACAACACACACATTTTAGTAGCCAAGTGTCCAATTACTTTTGAACCTTGCAGTTTTGGCAGTGTGTTAAAAAGGTTATATCACCTACACAGTTAGTTCTTTCTATATTGAGTTAAACCTTCTCAAATTGGGACTTTAACGTCACATCTATTATATCATTTCAAAAGGAATGCGCCGAAGCAAAGAACCCGAAGAACAAAAAGAAAGTGTAACTGTGCAAATACTATGGTACTTATGGTGGGGACTGTACCTATTAAGGAGTACGATATTGGCATCATTTAAATCCTCAGTAAAACATTTTAGGTAAGAAGAGGAATCTAAAACCGTGATACAAGGGAAACATCACAGCTGTCCTTCCCTTGTTGTAACGCTCCTCACTGACATCTACAGGATCTGTCCGTACTGTCACCCAAGTGTAGAAAAAGTAGAAACATGGCCGCAGTAATCTCATGTCCGGGCCATTTTGTGAACCCCTGGTGAGTTGTGATAGTTCTAGAGGAGAGAGATGAGAAGAGAAATTGTTGAACACGTCTGTAATGTGTGTAACACATTGGAATTACACATGTACTGCAAAAGCTTTAACTCCAGTCTTGAAACATTTATGTAACTTTAATTCAATGCCTCTGACCTGTTCTGGCAGTATGTGGGGAAACAACACTTTATTAAGACATTTTGTTTCTGTAATTTAGTAATCACGGGGTTTGTGTGTGTGGGTGTCAGGAAGTCCTAACTTGGCCACTATTGATGATTCTGTTTTTCCATGCCACATGCTTTGACTTTTACTGTGTTACAGCTAATAAACCAGTTGATATTTTTGTTAATGAAAACGACAGAAAAATGTTTCATTTGAAAGTGGACTGTACTTTTCATTCAACTCCACAACCTGAATATGATCACATGCTGCTTGTATTTGTCTGTGTAACGTCCACACACTGGTGGTGAGTGGTTTATAGCTGACCTGAATGCCAGAGTAACAGGCCATAGTAACAGAAACTGACTGTTATTGGCAGTCAACACTTTCGTAGCAGAGACACTATTATCTGTATGTCTTTAGTTCGCATTACAGCAATTACAGCATAATGATGATAATCATGAATTTTCCCTAGAGGATGAATAAAGTATCTGTCTATCTTTCTGTCTGTCTATCTATCTACAGTATCTATCTATCTAATGTGACGACCCCTGCCATTTCCTGTCAGCCTGTTTATCTGCCTGTGTTTCAGATGTCTGGTGGGTGGGGTCATCTGTGCCGACTGGTATCACCTGGGCCCAGTCTTCCCTGTCTATAAAAGCTCTGGCTGCTGCAAGCAGTTTTCTTCTCTTTCACCTTCCCTGCAGGAAGCTGTTTAGTCAGGATGTTTCTGTTCTTTGTTTGTTGTTTCCTTTTACTTTGTTTTCATGCATTTACAACACTTACCCACACTCTCCATGCTCACACACATCCTACACTACTGACATTCACACTCCATGGATTACTGTGTTTTGTGTTATGTATCTAAAAAAACCTCAGTTTGTTAAATAAACAATTTCTGTTTGGCTGTTGCTTTTGTCGTGGCCTTATGACCCGGGTTGTGACAATAATGACAACACAATAAACTACAAAGAGCCCAGTCTCTCACCCTCATGGCAGTAGATATCCAGGGCAGAAACCGGGACACTCTGGTGTAGACCCCAGGTTTCTTTGGCATGGCACAGCCTGTTCCCCAGCTCACCACCCCCAGCAGACGATACCGACTGGTCTTAGACAGACAGTCCTCTGCCACAAAGGGGCCGCCGCTGTCTCCCTGAAAACACACATGGTGGAAGCAGTTTACACACACATTATAAGTGTAAATTTTAGACAAACATAAAAAGAAAGTTAAAGCAAGTAGGAATGTAATAACATATCAAACAAGCAGGCGTATGCACTGAGCACACATACAGTAGGTGTCTTATTATAGACATACACCAACATCAGAAAAACACACAGATTAAACAAAGTTGACACACACATGGGAACACATCAGAGAATATGGTTTCCTGATTAGAAATCCAACATGCCAGCATTGGTGCAGCAGAACAGATAAACACTGGGCACTCTGACCTGGCAGGCATCAGTGCCTCCTTTCTCATAACCAGCACAGAACATACTGGTGGTGATCTGATTGTCGTAGTAATCAGGAGCGTTACAGACAGCGTCACTGATGATGGGGACGTTTGCTTCCTGGAGAACATCTGCTAAATGACCTGCGAGGGAAAAATATCAAAAACAGGTAAAAACATCAATACTACAGGACATTTATATATCAATATGTACCAGCTTCTGTCTTTTCAACTATTGCAATAGTAGAGACTCAATCAAGCTATTTTCACCTTACTGTGTATCTATGCTGATCAACGTTTAAATTGGAAGTGTTTCTTGATATGTTCAAACTAATGATTTTCAGCAGTGTTTTACAGTGCTGCTGTGAGTGTAGACTCACCGTAATATCCAACGTTTCCCCAGCCTGTTACTGTTCCCATCTGTCCGTCTATCAGTCTCTGACCATATGCTGGCAGGCAAATTGGCTGGATGTACTCTACACACAAACATATGTATTAAGATATAAGCAAACATGTATACAATAACACTGCACCATCAAACACACACACACACACACACACACACACACACACACACACACACACACTCATCCAAACTTCACTTAGAAACCACTACAACATGTGTCCAAACAGGGAGACACTTGCTACACTGTAAGAATGATGTGTAACAG